AGAAGAAAGTTTTGATCTAATAGAAGAAAAGAGTACTATCTTATGAACAAGGATTAATTCCTTTGAATTTGTTTGTTCATAAGTAACATATTAATAAGATATACATGCATTATAATCTTCACAATGAATGCAGGAATGGATTCCTTTCTCTAAAAGCTAATATGCTGAGAAAGTAAGTTGCACGGAAACGGGTATGAGAACCAGTACGCATGCCAGTGGGGGCACGGGACATGGCAATTTTGTTAAATGTAGGGTACAGGGACATGGCTACATAGCAGATACATATCTCTAGCTGTGTGCCAGTGCACGCGTGTGTGTGTGTGTGTGCGCGCATGCCTTTGCGTGTGTGTCTATATATGCAGAAATAAATAATTCAGATGAGAATTTTCAATTCATGTATTACTAGACTTAAAATTCTGATCACGCTTAAGTTTATTTTGTTATGTTGATTGTCACAAACTGGAAAGTGCTTGTCTTTTAGTAGACGCCCAAACAACCCTTTAAAATTATAGTTTGAACTTGGGTATTGCTGAAATGGAACCGACCCAATGTCTAACAAGTTTCAAGAAATGGATGTGAAGTGTGGGATGTACGTCCAAGAAGTATATGGCAAGTGTTTTAAATTGAAATGTATCATATATTTGAGCACATATCTGAATAAATGTATGCATATATTCAAGGAATGTCCATGGAGTTTCAGTATGGAAACGCGTTGGGTATGGGTACAGCTTCATGATAGAAGTATCCGGGTAACATAGCGGAAACAACACATCAATTATAATGTACTAAAACAGAAACTTATGAATAAATCTATGCCCTGATGAACTCTAGCAGTGCTACGAATGTCAAAGGAAACTTAGTTCTGACACCCAGGCCCAATGTATTCTCCAAAATATAGGAGATCTAGTTTTCATCTGTAAAGATCATTGCATAATCAGTTGGTTCAACCAGGATGTTTATACTGCAATTATGGATTAAGTGTGCTTAGCTAAATCCGACAAGTCATTGTTGCTTCATCCATTGATGTCCTTCAGGTCAGGTTTATTTTATTGACCTGTTGGGCCAAACTTTTTTTTAACCATCTTGAAACTCTTATTGGCTTGATTTTTCTTGGTCTATAAACATAGCTGGGTGGTGCTTGGTGAGAAACCAACTATGAATTCCTGACAGCTTCCTGTAATTAATTTAACTGGGCCTGTGGAGGCTGGTTAGAGTATGCAGCCTAATTTCCGTAACTTATATTCAACTTGTTGGAGGATGCTGAAGTGCATGCTTCTAAATGACTGGGTCAATTTGTGAGTGGGATCAAAATTTTGCAGCCACAGCAGAATATAAATTCGTGATTTGAATTTCCACTTGATTCTTTTACTTCGGCTCGCTAGATCTTGGTCAAATCTTAAAAAAACATACAAGTAGTGATACTAGGCATCTAACTGCTTTTCAGTGGCCAGTGGTCTTCATCAGTTCATAGGTAGTATGAAAGGCTAGCAACTTCAAAGTATATCCATAGTTAGCTGTGATTTGAATTTCCACTTGATTCTTTTACTTCGGCTCGCTAGATCTTGGTCAAATCTTAAAAAAACATACAAGTAGTGATACTAGGCATCTAACTGCTTTTCAGTGGCCAGTGGTCTTCATCAGTTCATAGGTAGTATGAAAGGCTAGCAACTTCAAAGTATATCCATAGTTAGCT